GCAAGCACTTATGCATGTTCTTGTCTTTATTACCGTGAACTTGCTGTTCAAATAAAAAAAAATATCTAAAGACTCTCTTCCCTTCAAAAAAAAATCCACAAACTCAATGTTCTCTCAAACCTACCCTTTTAAAATCTTCAGTTCCCTCAACTACAAGAAAAGCTTGGAAGGACAGAAGTTCAGCAAGCATAGTGGACCAGATTCCTAAAATGAAATCCTTCTTAGAGAAGTTCCTGTTCTCTGAGTGCTTCTGCTTAAAATAAGAGGCTGTGAATGACCACAGTTGTTAAGGTTTTCTACCTGGAGGGAAGTAGTATCTAGGTAGCTAGGAGCCACACTACATAAAACTTTGTAGGTCAAAATTCAGAGCTCAAAATTTACTGTATATTTTATCCGGATACAGAAGTGGCCTGGAAATACTCTAAGGTAAATATGCAAATGCTATCAGGAGCATGCATTCCAAGGAAGAGGAAAAATGGCAGAGAAGAGTTAGTTGGATGAATAAGCACATTAAACAGGACCCTAAGAGAAAGCTGAGGATCTAAAAGAATGGGAAAAGGGATTGATCAGTAGGAGAGAGAACTTTCAGTGGTCAAAGAATGCAGGAATTGCCAGATTTGAAGTCAAGAATCTTTACCACAAGTCAGATTTGCAACAATTGGAATGGACTTGGCTTTCCTCTGTGGCAGGAAGTCTGGTCCTCTTTTAGGACTCTCTGAGTACATATAAACCAAAATACTTCTCTGTAATTTCAGTGACAGGAATTTCTGTTGCTCTTGCTTTCCCTAATTTTTACTTACTGCAAACTGTAGGGTGTTCTTGATTTTGCTCTTATAATGTGTTCTGTGGCTGTGTTGTGTGAGGGGTTGGCGTGTATGATCTGTAGGACTCTGGATAAATGGTTGCCTGCAAATGCAGGGGGCTGGACTTGGCACAAAAGCACCTTTGAGTCCTTTTCTCATGTGTTCCTAAAGAAGCAGGCAATTGCATTCCACACCAGCTGACATTCTGCAATCTGCAATTATACTCAGATGTAGACTAGATAGCAGCAACCACATAAATAATTTATGCCATGCATATGCAAAAGAAAAGGATGCAATTTTCTTGGCAAATACATGTGGGCAAAAAACATGTTCTTGGCTAATGTGGTTACCTGGGCATACAACAGCAGTTAAAGATCCGGCATGACTCCAAGTTGCAAACCTGAATAACACATTAACACAATTTCTTAACCTTTGGAATCAATATTGCCTCTGTTTATTTTTCCTAGTTCTTTCCTACCCTCAAGTACATTCTCCTATATCCCCTGATGTGCTCAGATATTAAATAAGTTGCTGAAGAGTACCAGCCGGATCTGATGAGAAAGACCTATGCAGCTGCAAGTCATCCTCCTAGTGGATGATTACATCTCATCACTAACTTTCCAAGTGGTTTTGTATACACTTTGTATAAGGCTCCATCTAGTTTGAGCTTTTGGTGACTCTGTGGCCCAGGCTGGTATGGAAAATTACCAGGATTGGTCCCCTGGGAGGGAGTAGCATGCCATGCACAGTAGATGCTGCTGGAATATGTGTGCCATGTGAAAAGGGAGTATATAAGGTGTCCCTGAGGAGAACTGAGGGGGGGGGGTGTGCGCCTAAAAGGGAGAGGTTTTGAGGTAGTGTGAGGGTTGGCTGGTTTCCATTGTTGCATGGAGAGTTCTGTGGTTGCATGGTCTGGAGTGATTGAAAGTATATTCAGGTTTGTCTAAGAGAGAGAGAGAGAGCTGAAGCAATTGGGAGATTGAGTGTGAAACTTGGCTACAGCAAGAGTGTGAGTGACCTCCAAATTCTGTGGCCATTTCCATTCATCCAACACTGCAAGGAGCTCTGTTCTCATCTCGGAGCAGAAAGTAAAGCTGTGACTACTGGAATTTGAGTCCACGCTGTTCTAGGAGACTGCTAGAGTATGGTCCTAGACTTACTTTGCTTTTCCCTGGTAGTACCAGCGCACAGTCCCTAAGGTGATTATTACCCCTCTTCCTCCCTATTATTATGGGGGTCTTGTCTTATTTATGTAAATAGAATTGTATATAACAGGATATTAGGATAGCAAGATTAGACATAGTTTTATAGTATAGATTTTTGTTTGAATGGTACCTTCTAATTGGTGTTTGTGACCTTGTTAATAAACCATTGTAATTCATTTCATTTTGATTCAAGTCTGAGGAGGCTTTATTGACTAATTAGATCTGAGCTCCTCTCAGAGTGATCAGGCATCCAGATGATAGATGCTGGAAGCCTGGGTCACGCTCATTAGTACCTGCCCATTGTATTACTTAATTGGCTGGCAGGGAGAATGTGCATAAATTTCCTATTTTCCTTAATTCTTTGTTTTCCAGCCCAACAAATGTACCGGGGAAATGATGGAATGAAACAGTGTAGCTCCTTGCATGAAAAGCCCCCAAGGGCAAGTCAGTAATGACCTATTATTTAGATGAACAATCATCCTGTTGGTAGTGGAAGCTGTAATCTATATTACTGAACCTCTACAATAGCTATCACCATTATCTCTTTCTGTTCAAAGCAAAGGAGTATTTACCTTGATGAATCAAGGTATCTGTTTTGACAATTTGTCCTCTAAATTTTGATTCAAGTAGTGAACTTCCAGAGATCATCAAGGGTGAGAGGTCTTAATCACCAAAAGGGGAACACTGAGATTGCAGTAATTAGGGCTGCAGACAGGCTTTAGCCCTAGCTGGCCCTGATTCCTTGAGTGGGCTTGGCTGCTAGTGCCCTAACTAATCCTAGCTGGTCCCAATTACCGGAATGGGCATGGCTCCCCCCATATTTAAGAAGCAGCCCTGTCAGTGCTCTGGAGTCTACATATTAGGGCAGGGGCTTCTCCATCTGTTCTGGATTCAGCCTGAATCCATGTCTGGTCTCTAACCACAGACTCCTGGTTCCAGTTCAGACCTTTGCCCCTGATGCCCAACTCCTGGCTCTAGTTATGTAGTTACCCACATTCTGGTCCCTCACAGCTGCAGCTACCTAGTTTGGACTCCCTGGCTAGTGACTTCAGTCCGGATCCCTGCTTTTTGCCACTGACCCTCCCTGGCTCTTCATTCTATCTTGATGACCACCCACATAGCAGTCCCTTACAGAATTTAGCCTCCTAATCCTCTGACTCCAGTTCAGGCCCTTGCTTCCTGACTTTGCCTACTTCTGCTTTCCTGGGTCATGGATTTCTTAAGGTGATATCTTTTATTGGACCAACTACATAGTTGAGATTAAGTTAGACAAGATTTCGAATGCAAGATATTCTTCCTCAGGTCTCTGATTATAGGATGCTAGGCACAGCATAGGGGAGGGGCTGAGAGAAATTATCAGGTGTAGCAGACATATAATTAGCAAAAGAAAATCGGGTGTAGCAGACAGGTCACTAGTAAAGAAAAAAGCTGAGTACTAGGAGATCAAGGACTATCAAAAGGGAGTGAGGCAGTCTCATTTTCCTTATGTGGAAAGTATTCAGAAATTGGATAGATATAATGGGTCATAAATCCAGTATCAGTGATTAGTCCTTGGTTTTAGTGTCCAGACAGCTTATGAATTTTTGTTCCCAGGTTCAACTTTGAAAAGAGGTTAGGTAGATTTTCTTTGAGCAGTAGAATAGTGAGGTCAGAGACAAGAGTAGTTGTTCTGTGAGAAATGTGCTTCTAATGATGAGTGTATGTCTCTGTCTTTTTATATTTTTTTTCTGTGAGTTCATTTTCTTGCATAGCTGCTGTTTGGTTTTACCCACAAAGTTGCCATCAGGGCATTTGGTGCATTGGATCAGGTACATCACAATTAGGGAAAGGTGTGTGTAGGGGCCATGGATTCTAAGAGTTTCTTTGTGGGGTGTTGATAGTTGTGGCAGTGGAGATGTGCTGACAGGTTAAGCGTTTCTTGCCAAAGTAAGGCTGCATTCTACTTGATGTCTGTGGGGCAGTGGAGAATTTGCTTCTGATGATGACCTGGGTAAGGCTGGTGGGGCTGTTTGAAAGCCAGGAGTGGAGGGGCTGGGAATATTTCTCTCAAGGTCTGGTCTTTGTCCAGTATAGATTGTCGTTGATTTGTGATCCTTCTGATTGGTTTCCGTGTATGGTGGTAGGTCACCACCAGGGGGTGTGGTCACAGGGGTTTTATTTTTGTATTGTAACAGGTTACTGTGGCGTATTTGGATAGTTCTTTCAAGCATGTGGTCTATTTCTCTAATGGAGTATCCTAGTATAAAGGCAGACTTCAGGCTGGTCAGGTGGACATCACAGGTGCTATGGTGGTATCTGAGGGCCTGGTTGCAGATAACCACTTTTTTGGTGTGCTAATTTTGTGGACATAAGTATGGTGGTCTATGGGTTTTCTGTATATAATGGCTTGTAGGGGGCCATCCAAGATGTGGACTGTGGCATCGGAAAAGTTGATGTTAATGTAGGAGTATTCCAGAGGAAATTTAAATTTGAAGGATGATGGTTGTTAAACCTGTGGTGGAAGTCAACAAGTGAGTTCAGGTGTTCAGTCCAGATACTGAAAATATCCTCTATATAATACAGATATAGTGCAGGTTGATAGTGCAGTTTTCTAGAATGCATTTCTTTTTAGGTGGCTCACAAAGAGGTTGGCATACTGGGGCGGGGGGCATCTCTGCCCATAGTTTACAGGAAGGGATGACTGTTGAAAGTGAAAGTTGCTGTGGGTGAGGATAAAGGAGATGATTTGTGCAACATGTTGCAAGTATGTGTCTAATCCACGTATAGCAGGGCACTAAGGTACCTGCTACTTGGAGAGCCAGGATAATTCCTCAGGTGCCGGTTGCTGAGGCAACTAGAGGGAACTAATGACCCACACCTGCCTAGTCAGCTGACAAGAAAGGGCAGGGCCTGGCTCCTATATAAATCACAGGCAGGAAGCTAGAAGGCAGTTCCCTGCTGGCAGACAAGGAGGAAGGAGCCCTGCCTGCGTGAGCAGAGGGAAGGGGCTGGAATGCATCAGCAGTGAGACTGGTAAAGGATGGAGCATGCTGGGGTGGCTGGATTAATGTTATGGCCAGACAGCTGGAGTTTGCGTTGTAGCCCAGGGGCTTGTGTTTCATTTGCTGTTTGTTACCGGTGGTCTGGGGGAGACTAAGAGGGGATGGAGGAGGCCTCATAGGGGACTCATGGCAGTGTGGGGACCCCAGGGCCAGTGAGGGCGCAAAATTCGGGGTACACTGACCCCAGCCCCAGACAGGGGACACTTGAGAAGCCTCAGTGAGAGTGGGGGCAGCGAGAAGCCCCAGTGAGAGGGCAGCAATTGTTGAGTGCTGGAGAGGGCATGGAAAGACAGAGACAGGGCCACGGGGAGCCTGAGTGCCAGAGAGGGTGAGGAGAGAGACGGGGCCACGGAGAGCCTGAGCACCAGAGAGGACGCGGAGAGAGACGGGGCCGCGGAGAGCCTGGGCGCCAGAGAGAGACGGAACAACATCAGTCGCATCTGCGAGGCTTGGGATGTGGTGCAGGGATGGTTGGAGCCACACATAGCCCATAAGGCTGGAGTGCTCAGAACACCCAATACAGGAAAGGAACTATTGATAACAGGAGAACCGTGGACAAGAGGATGAAAGGCAGCCTCACTGTAAAATATATATATGAGATCAAAGTCGTGGCGGGCGAGGATTTGAGGGTGCTTGTCAGCAACTCAGCACGGTAAAGGAGGTGGCAGGGGAGAGCACGGCGACCCTGACCGCCCTCCTGTTACACCATGTTCTTAAAGGTATTTCAGGCAGGTAGCTGTGTCTTTGTGGTGTGTTTAAAGTGCAGGCTCATGATATCCATGGTTGCAAGTATGGCCTTCTCAGGGATGTGGCTGATGTTCTGGATTCTGTTGAGGAAGTCTGGGGTGTTTTGTAGGCACCTACTCTTTGTGTGACAAGTAGTTTCAGGATATTTTCTATGCATCCTGATGAATCTTCAATGAGGGTACCACAGTTAGATATGATGGGTCTGCGAGGGTTGCCTTGTTTGTGGATCTTTGAAAGTATATAGAAAGTCCCTGGGATAGGAGAATTGGGGGTGAGTGGAAGTAGCTTTTTCCTGAAGCTGGTGTAAGAAAGATTTGATGATATTTTCCAATTCCAGAGCAAATTCTAGTGTGGGGTCCTCCCCAAGTTCTTTATAGTGTCTCGTGTCAGAGAGTTGTCTGTCAGCTTCATTGATGTAGTCTTGACAGTTGAGGATGACTGTAGTTCCCCTTTGTCTGCTGGTTTGAATATTATTTTGTTGTTGAATCATATGGTCTGTATGACTTCTCTCTAAGGGGGAGAGGTTATTGTGGTCATGGTTTTTGCTTGAGAATGTCACTGTTGACTTTCCTTTTGAAACAGTCATGGTAATAGTTTGCTGGAAGGTGTCCTGTTTGCTATTTTATTCTTTCTTTTCTCAGTTGTGGCAGAAGAGTTGTTAGAGGTGGTGGTGTCCTGGTTGTGGAAGTATTCCTTCATAGATTTTTGCCTGAAATAATTCTTTTAATTCTCCACATATTAGTATCTTAATGGGTTTTTGTCCTCCTGGCAGAAGCCTAAGCCTTTGGAGAGTACTGATATTTCAGACTGGGATAGCGGTGTTGTGATAGGTTGATTTATGTTTGTTTTCAGCGCTCCCGTTTTGATTCCCTCCTGTGCTGTTCATACACTGTCAGGTGGCTCTTATTGTGATAGCTGATTCCACTTTTTCTAATGTTGGATGGCAGTTATCAGGTATTTTTGTAGTATGTTTGGGTCTGCTGCATAGCGGTCAGGTTTATCTCCAGGTTAATGTCTCTTACTTTAGTAGCATAAGCAACTATCTCTTGTTTCCGTTCATCTCTTTTGGAGTAGGTTAGGTGAAGAAGATGGTTTCTCCAAAGTTCTCCTGCATAGTTGTTCCCTGGTTCATGACACTCCCAATGCTCGCAATCTGGTTGTACCCCTGACACACAACTGCTGCAATCTTTCTTGGGTTTGTTGCTTACATCTCTATGCTTTAGATTTCCTGTGTAAAGTAGGCATTCAATATCAGAAAATGATTTGGTATAGGAAATATCCATGTGTTGGCTACAAAGGACCAACTCACAGGATCACCATAAAATTCTTGTTTATTAGATAGATGCAAGAGTCAGATCGTAAACCTTGGGGCTGATCCCCTAAAACACACACACACACACACACACACACACACACACACTAGCTAGCTATGAACACTAAGCACCGATATCATGATATACCTATCCCCAAGCACTGGAGTCTGCCATCAATGGCCAGGCGAGGTTTCTTTCAGTGTGATGTTGCTTCAGAAGAGGGTTGCCAGCTGGTCCTACTGGCTGAGCAGACAGGGTGCTGGTGAGGTCACAGAGGGTGCCATTCAGTGTCATTCTTTGCTGCCTTTTATCCCTCTCTGGCAGACTTTGGTGACTGTGACAGCTGAAAATTGTGTCTAAGGTGCTTGCTGAATGTTGTGAAAATTAGACCAAGTGTTTTTCTGTCATTTGTTCAAATATTAAGCTATATATTGTTGTTAAGAGCCTAATGAAAGTCAAAGATTAGTGAGGCCTTGTATGTAGTAAGGCCTAGTAAATTTAACAAAGCCTTGTAGAAGTAGTAGGCCTTGTGGTGTAGTAAAAATTAACCTTATCAGAAGAATGTAAGGCCTTGTACTGCTATTGGTCAATCGATAAAAGCTAAAGAGGCGGTAGTCATGGGGGGACCTAAATTACCCGGACATCTGCTGGGAGTCACAGACGGCAAAGTCCCACCGCTCACGCAGGTTTCTAACCTGTGTACAGGACCTCCACCTGACACAGAAGGTACATGGTCCCACTAGGGGGAATGCCATACTGGATCTGGTATTGGCAACGGGGGATGACATGGTAGGGGACCTACAGATTGGTAGCCATCTAGGGGACAGTGATCACCTAATAATAGAATTCACCATAAGATGTCGAGTGGGTAAGGTAACTAGTAGGGTGAAAGTGCTAGACTTTAGGAAAGCTGATCTCAATGAACTCAGGCGATTAGTCAAGGACGCACTGCAGAGTAGGAGTTTTGAAGAGATGGGAGCCCAAGAAGGGTGGCTGTGCCTTAAGGAAACGATCCTTCGGCCACAAAGCAAGACGATCCCCGAGCGAGGCAAAAGGGGGAAAGGAGCCAGGAGGCTTCCTTGGCTGACCAGAGAAATCCAGGGCAGCCTAAGGGACAAAAGGGGAGCACATAAAAAGTGGAAACAGGGAGAGATCACCAAAGATGAATATACCTCCTCTGCTCGTGC